TTCCTTAAATTTTCCAGTAATGTATTTTAAGTACACAGATTTATTGCATTTACACTACGCCTATCTAAGATACAGTGTTTTTGTTCCTGTTTCTGTGTGAAACTGAGAAAGAAACTCTTTAACAATATGATGAATTATACAACCAAACTAAATTTAGTTATTGGAAAACCAAATCAAAATGACGTTTTTGGGTTTGTTGTTAGGCATTACATGTACAAGTCCAAATCGGTAATTATCAAAGCCTGACTTTGATAATTCTAACAAGATAGAGTCATAAGTGAAATAGCTTTGCTAAAAAGTATTGTGTCTGTGCTAAGTTAATATCATTATTATAACTTTTTAACAATAATAATAGTATTCAAAACTTTTTTTTCATAATCTTTTCAATTAACTTAAGTATTATCAAAATACCTATCTTCCACTTCAATGGCCATTTTGTATTCTGCTTATGGATGTGAAATCTATTTGACTGTTGAAGCGACGGATGCAGGACTTCATTTTCCAATGAGCAGTGGATCATTTTCAATGGCCATATTGTACTCTGCTTATGCCCATGCAGTTGATCCCATGTCTCTACGATACACCGTTTTAAAAAAAAGTTCATTAAGTGTAAGCAGCGTAAACTTTCAGGGGCAGTAACTCATACAAGGGACCAAAGAATGCTTTCGCAATGATAGAATGAAGAGAGTACTAAATGAGTCGAAGACACTAATGAAGGTTTGGAATCTCTACGGTTTACGGTTTCGGAGGAGTAGCGATAACAAGGTTTTGTTGCAAAAGGGGTGACAACTTTTGAATGGGTCAAGCTCGGGGGACAAGAACTGAATACCTGTTCCACAGGTATCGACCTTTAAATACTGACCAATAGCTACGGCCGCTTTTATTAGCACATAAACAATACCACGTGTTCCTAGTACAAATGATGAATTAATTAACAATTGGTATGAAATATATCAGACAATATACGACCCAGAGATAAGTTATATTTGCTAACAAGGTCATTATAAACCATAGAATTTACGAAATGCTGACTTTAAACGAGGTCGTTGAAATCTCTGTAACATCAACTTCTCTGTCAGTAGGCTGCCTTGGTTTAAAAATTGATCATACTCAGAACATAGACTTGAGTATTGAATAAGTTGGGCAAATATAAATACCATATGCAGGTGGTAGTGGAATATTACTAATCAAATGAGGAAAGCTGAGAATGGGAAAGCTGACATCATCTCGTTTATCATACAGTTTAGATGTTAGTTGGTCCCTATCGTCTATAGTCAGTAAAATATTTCATTATGAAACAGATATGGCAGACTGTGTTGACTTTAAATTTATTTCGAGCTACCGGGATACTAGTATATCGTGTCGACATATGAATGGAAGTGACTACTGTTCATTGATAAATCGTCACGATATAATTATCTCGATGTCGAGTTGAAGGCCGCATCAAGTGTTTTCTTTTTCTCTTGTAGAAGTTTTTGAATAAATTCTGCTTCATAGGAATATAAAAACAGTTCGGCTAATATAGGATCACAATTAGTGCCCATCAAAATTTCGAATGTTTGTTGGAAGACCTGGTCTCAAAAGTCTATATAGATGTTGCCTATGAGGAACTCCAGCATCCTTTTTATACCAACTTCAGAGTATTTGTATGTAGACTCAGAGTGAACTTTAAAAAGTAATGTTCTTGATGACAATCTCAAAATATGAATAATTTCCGAGTTCCCTTTATATTGAAGAAGCAGTTGTCTGTGATATCAATAAGCCTAGTTTTTAATTTATCGTGAGGAATGGTTGAATTAAGTGTAGAAATGTAAAAAGGTTTGATGTAACTAACTTTGGAAAAACTTTGTGATTTTAAATTTAGAATCCATATTTGATTTGCACCACTTATCGTAGAATGCTGTAGCACAGTACGTCTGAAGTTTCTCCCATACAGCAGTTACTATTTTTGTGAGGAGTAAAGATAGGGGCTTGGTAGAGCATTTGTATCGTTCTTTGTAAGGATTTTTATGAGTTTAGGAATCCAGTATAATGTAAGTTCGTTGACTGGAATGTTAAAAGTATTCAAGACTAAAATGTGATTTTGGAGAATTTCATCCTTAGAAAGTGAACTGTGAGTATAAGTGGGTTTTCCAGACATAGAATTAAAACTAAGTGTTCTTCTGAAATAGTTATAATAATTAGCCTTACAAACAAAGACGATATTATTACATGCCTTGTCTCACTGGTATGAGATGCAAATGCTCAAGGTCTGGGTTATATAAAGAGTAAAATTGAGAAACTTCATTGCAAGGAGAAAAATAGCATTAATCAATTTTGTTTTTATAAAAATGATAATGGTTATACAGCAGACTATCCGTTTGAAATGTTAGCGCCATATGCATATTCAAAATCAATATAATCTTAGAAGGGAACAATTGACTATCCACATTACAAAATTGAGAACTGAATTTTACATGAACAGTTTTTAACCGTCTACAATGATTAAGCGGAACACATGGCTCACTGGTCAGATGTGTTTGGTCAGTAACTCAAATGTCGCTGGTTTAATCCCCTATATGTGTAATTGATGGTGTGTGTTGTGTCCTTAGACAAGGCACTTTATCTGCATTGTCTCATTCCACCAAGCTGCAATGGGTACCGGTTAACCTGCGACGGACTGGTGTCCCAACCAGGGGGGAGTTAATCTCATCCTTTTAACATCACAGAAAACGAATATAAACACCGGTCTTATGAGCCATATGGCTCGAAGAGGGAAATAACTTTAACAATGGTTAGATGATAGGGGATACTTACTCCTCCAAGGCACCTGATCCCACCTGTGATATTTTCAGAGATTTTTATTTCCTCTGCTCACATCATTTAACTTATTCATTGTTCGTTGACTTCATATTTCATGCTATATGCCAGTATATATATTGGAACATTGAAAGGTTGCGAGAGCAATAAATATAAATAAAATAAAATAAAAATGTATCATGTGTTTTATATTTCACTGCTTTCCTTAAATGGATATCTGAATAAATACGTATTTATATTTTTCAATTATCATGAAAACTTACTATATTTGGACTATCATAGATTTACGTAGACACCATTCATTAATTAGATGTTAGATTCAAGAGTGTATTTGATACCATCCTATAGATGTTTTTGGGACTCTGAAAAAAGAAAAGCCTTCGAGGGAGTGAAAAGCGAGCTTGAATTGAATACCCGTTCCACAGGTATCGACATTAAATACTGACCAATAGCTACGACCGCTTTTATTAGCACATATACACTACCACGAGTTCCTAGTACATATGATAAATTAAATAACATTAGTATGAAATATATCAGACAATATACGACCCAGAGATGTTATACTCGCAAACAAGGCCACTATAAACCATAGAATTTACGAAATGCTGACTTTAAACGAGGTCGTTGAAATCCCTGTAACATCAACTTGTCAGTCAGTAGGCTGCCTTGGTTTCAAAATTGATCATACTCAGAACATAGATTTGAGTATCCAATAAGTTGGGAGATATAAATACCATATGCAGGTGGTAGTGGAATATTACTACACAAATAAGGAAAGTTGAAGATGGGAAAGGTGAAGTCATCTGGTTTATCATACACTTTAGATGTTAGTTGGCTTCTATCGTCTATAGTCAGTAAAATATTTCATTATGAAACAGATATGGCAGACTCTGCGTTGACTTTTATTTCGAGTTCACTGGGATATATTGTGTCGACAGATGGATGGAAGTGACTACCGTTCATTGATAAATCGTCGTCGATATATCTCAATGTCGAGTTGAAGGGCACATCAAGTGTTTTCTCTTGTAGAAGTTTTTGAATAAATTCTACTTCATAGGATATAAAAACAGGTCGGCTAATAAAGGCCCATCGATATTTCACATGTTTTTTGGAAGACCTGGTTTCAAACGGCTACATAGATGTTGCCAATGAGGAACTCCAGCATCCTTTTAATGCAAATGCTCAAGGTCTGGGTAATATAAAGAGTAAAATTGGGAAACTTCAGCGCAAGGAGAAATAAGCATTAATTAATTTTGTTTTTATAAAAATGATAATGGTTGTACAGTAGGCTATCTGTTTGAAATGTTAGCGCCATATGTATATTCAAAATCAATACAATCTTAGAAGGGATTCTCTTTATTATAATTTTAATGAAGTTTTTAACCATCTACAATGATTGAGCAGTGCACATGGCTCACTTGTCAGATGTGTTTGGTCAGTAACTCAAAGGTCGCTGGTTTAATCCCCTATATGTGCAATTGATGGTGTGTGTTGTGTCCTTAGACAAGGCACTTTATCTGCATTGTCTCATTCCACCAAGCTACAATGGGTACCGGTTAACCAGCGTTGGACTGGTGTCCCAACCGGGGGTGGGGGGGGGGGGGTGTGTCAATGACACGTATCGTTTTCACACCACAAAAAAAAATGATTTTAACACCGGTCTTATGAGCCATATGGCTCGAAGAGGGAAATAACTTTAACAATGATTAGATGATAGGGGATACTTATTCCTCCAAGGCACCTGATCCCACCTGTAATATTTTCAGAGAACTTTATTTCCTCTGCCCACATCATTTAACTTGTTCACTGTTCGTTGACTTCATGCTATATGCCAGTATATATATTAAAACATTGAAAGGTTGTGAGAGTAATGAATAAATAAAATAAAAATGTTTCATGTACTTTATATTTCACTGCTTAACTTACATAATAGATATCTGAATAAATACGTATTCATATTTTTGAATTATTATGAAACCTTACTATATTTGGACTATCATAGATTTACCTAGGCACCATTCATTAACTAGATATTAGATTCAAGAGTGTATTTGATATCATCCCAAAGATGTTTTGGGACCCTGAAAAAATTCAAATTTGTAAACTTGTCTTAATGTTTTAAAGTAATGAAAGAAGTATATACCGGTTACAAAGTTATATCAATAGCTGTGACAAAAAACTTCCAACTCGTGCAAACATTTATTTATTTAACAATTAAGTCATATATAAACAAACTCAATAATTTCAATAATTTCACATGCATCTGAAGTAGAGAACTTGAGGTGTGCGTGCTACCTCAGTGCGGTTTAAAACATAACTTTCGTTGTTTCCAAGCACAGTAACGATGAAATAAAATTCCCTTAGATTTTTACTTACGTGCTAAATAATAAATTATTCTTAATTGTTACATGAAGGGCCACAAATTCTCGTGTTGAATGTGGCCAAGAATAACACCAAATATCACAAATTCTTAGCACGGGGTGTTGAAAATTGCACCACTATAATTTGCAATGAAAACTTTGTCTTAAATAAATCCCTCTGTCTAGAATAAAATAATACTGTGTTTAAGATTGATGGCAAAATGGGTTCTTCCATCAGAGATCAGTGGGTCAAAAGCTTAACAATTAAATATCACAGATTGCTTTGATCTAAAATTCTAAGGTGATCAAACTTGTAATTGCCCTTCGTCCTCTAATTTCATCATCATCGCGTTGTCGACCTCAATAACCCACTTTTTAATCCAATCCTCTTTCTCGGTCGTCATAAGTTCGTTCTCTTCAATGTACTGTTTAACGTTTGTGTACGCATATGAGTCATTGACGTCACGCCACGTGTGCCAAGTCCGTTCGGAACTCGCTTTTTCATCGACAGAACAACTGGGCAAATTTCCTCCATTCAAAAGCGGAGTGTGGCCACTGGAAGACGACTGTTGATGCGGTTCTGCTTTTGCTTTCTTTTCTAGTCGATCTTTCTTCTCCACTGAGATGTTGCCTTGTGGGGTGTGGCTTCCCACTCTAGACGTTTGAGCTTTACGGTTTTCCACTTCATATTGATTATCCACCTCTTCTTTCAGTTTCTTCAATTTGTCCTTATATTGCTCCTCGTGCCATTTTCGGAACTGCTCTATCTTTTTCCTTATAGAAAATTGTTCCTCGTTTCTTGCTCGGCTGTAATCATGGAAAGATTTATGTCTCTCGGTCCTTTGCACAAGTCCCATTTGATTACTTTGAACCTGTAACTTTGCGTTTTTGTTATTCTCTTGAACATGGTTCTTTGCAGCCTGTTGATTCGAATTCTCTTTAGCTAGTTTTCGTCTATGTTCTAACCGTGATCGTCTTTCTATAAAGGGAGAGGAGCCACCGACTTTATTAATACTCTCATGGGAAAACGATTGGTCTTTTCTAATTCTAGTTACTTCAACTATATTATGCTGTGGTTGATTTTGTGGAGTCCCAGCATTGTTACGAGAAATATTGGACACTCTCGTATATTCCTTTTGCACAGGAGATGTTCCATCGTGTTTTGAATATTGGGTATGTAGAACGTATGGTGTCGTGACATCATGAACACGCGAAATACCTAATGAGCTTATGTACGGGGACTCAGCCTCGATATGGTTTACATACGGCGTGATGACTTCCTTTCTGCTAGGTGTTTGGGAGATTGGTGGAAACAAAGCTAGGTCTGTTCCTCTTCGCTGAACGTGTTTTGCGCGTTTTTTCATCACCATTTTTGCACGTGATCTTGGATTTATGTTAACATCAATTGTATCCTTCATTAGAGTTTCTGTGTTATCGTGACGAATGTGATTTGGCGAGAACGATCCTTCATCACTTGTGACGGAATATTTTAACATTATCAAGAACACATATATTTAATATCGTCATTTACTCAATATTCACGCCACATGAAGTGAAACTTTCTTTTTTCTATTCCTCAGAAATGATGTTCCTACAAAGAATATAGTGGTAAAAAATATGAAATGAAATGAATCACTCTTGGTCAGACACGGATCTTTATTAGATTATTGATCTATTGTTAACCTGTCAACAAATGCAAATAGTTTACTTCAGAAATTATTGTACATCATTTTTCTAAGAGATAAGAACACTTACATTTCAGGTCTTCCATTTCTGTTCAATCTATTCATTGGCTATCAAAATAGTTCACTGCAAAATAGAAAAATCAACACTCGTCATTATGTTCTGTTTGTTTTGCACATAATCTGAATCGAAGGAAATATTTCCATATATACAGCGCAATATTTTTCTTTGGAGAGAATGATTCATTGAATACCAGCAGAGAGCTTACAAAGTATACCAGTTACACTTCACTTGTCCTCAATGAATTTAAAGGTTTACCAGTTTATCTTTTGTTTAAATACAAACGATTAGACTTTTAATAAATTTTCCAATTTTCTGTTAAGGTCATTGACTGCATTGTGTTTAGTTGAGAACTATCCTCATTTACATAAAGCCTAGTTTGATTACGAAGAATTCTGCTTATCATGTATCTATCAAATTGCTCCTATCATAGATCTCTATCACTTTACATGCTCTTTAACAGAATTTTCGGATAGGCTTAAACTTACTAACGCATCATAATAACTATTCTAATGCGGATGGATTCAGTTCTACAACCTACCAGAAAAGTCTTTAAACAAGATATCAACAGTGTCGTGTTACTCGCTGCTCTCAAACAAAATGCATTGTCATTTTGCTGTTTTTTCCGTTTTGTCAAGAAATATTGAAACATAAGTACTGACGTCACAAGTACATTTAGAACTAATTGCATAAAAGTGTCAAGTGCAGCACTTGCCAAAGACTAACACATCTCATTGTAAATGTGTACGTGCACTTAGATTCTAAGCAAATACAGAGTTATATGCTATGAATTTCCACTTATAAGTCGATGATAAATCTTCTTCAAATGGCATCGATTCAGTGGTTCGAATTCATTATCATTAATAATAAGCAGATTAAACTTATATATGGAGGGTTTCTAATATCGTTCTAGCTGAATGATAAAAACGTATATAAAGTTGATCAATTGAAAATTGCTCAACATTATCATCCACAGATTAAGTTTTGATGAGTTTTTACTACCACTACATAAAAAGTGCTTCGACCAATTCTGCACACAATGAAATAATGACAGCTACTTACTCAAAAATTGCTTAATAATTCTTTCTTGTCAATGACTAAGTTTATGAAATATTGGATCTTAAACTTTCATTACAAAGACCTGTTCACTTGACATCAATTTTTTGTGATGTTGAGAATGATGATTTAACGGTTTCAAGTGTTTTTTTTAAATCATGAGCGTTTGACTGAGATCAATTTGCTCATGTCTGGGTTTCACTTTGGTTGATATTCTACAGCAAGGCTTACTTGTTCTGTCGCACTCATCAGGTTGGGGATATTATGGATTATTTACCATAATTATAAAGATGAATGGTCCTATTATATAGATCTGCATACATAACAAGTCTTAAGACAACCGATGATCATTTGCTCTGTTCTTTGTTCTAGGCAACAGTCTTCATATTTTCTTTAATTTCAAAGTGCCTTATGATACAGCAGTTTCCATCCACTGATTTTGACGTGTTCAGTCCCAAAGGTACAAGTACTTACAAACTTTCTAACCGTAAACGATTTGTGATGCAAATACTTATAGTATTTGTGAAAGAACAGACAAAAATTATCTATGTATTAAAAGTAGTAAAGTGTAGTGTTTTCATAATTATGCGTGTATGTCGATAAAGGATATGCTATCCTTAATTCTTAGTAACTAATGGAAGAGCGAAGTACGTGTTAACATCTTTAGCTATGTAAAGAAATAGCTTAAAATGCTAGTTAAGCATGCGCAGTTTTCCTGTTAGAAGAAAATTTTCAAACACATAATTTTCAACATGCGATTGGATTATCCCCAGGTTGTCCTGAATAGAATTTTAATTGGAACGTGTGTGATTTAGAAGATGAGCAAGACTTGTATATATAAGTACATACCGGTACAAAGATGGTTTATTAATGAAGGCAGATACTACACCGACACAGCATTAAATGATAACATAATATATATTAAAATTATTCATTAAATAAATTCTGTGTGGTCTTCTGTAGATCGAGTCCAAACACTTGCAATGCAAAAAGTACCTCCATACAAACAGGCTATGGTGATTTCGTATAAAAGATACGTAATTTTTTATATTCTCCTGCACCAAAGATGTGTTACTTCCACATTCCAAATATACATGTAATACTTTTTTAAAATATGTCTTCTATCTCAAACAAAAAAAAATGTTTATTTAATCCCCAAAAATAATAATGGTACTTTATTCTTGGTGCAAATACTTTGTATTTACATAAAACTTTTCGCCAACGAATCTATTCATCTATTTCAAATTTGCATCAAACTATAGAACCTGTGATATAGAGGTGCCATGCAAAATCGTGTCTTGTTTGGGGTCTTGTGTCTTGTTTGAGGTCTTGTTTGCGGTTTTTATGTCTTGTTTGAGGTCTCATTTCCTTTCGTGATGTGTTCTAGTGCAAATATTGTAATTGATAATATCTATCCCCCAGATTGATAATTTTGACGATTTAGTAAGACAAAGGTCTGCAAAAGAAGTCAAGCTGAAAGCTAATTCGATTTTCTAAAACCCTCGTAAATTGACCCATTGAGTGGGCCAGGCGTGGGGTAACGATTTTCCTATTGTTATACGAGATATGTACACATGATATGCGAGTTGTTTTCCCTATCAACTGTGTAATAAATGTTCCAAATCCAAAAAGAACAAGTGATCGCTTTATCTTCATGGGTTATCAATGTCGCATTCTTTACAATTGTTAAAGTTTTTAAATTTGCATTATGACTTTAAATGTCTGGACACAATATAGTCTCTGTTTACCAAGTGAAATTAAATGGAAACATCACTTGGACTTCATTGAAATCGGAGAATCGATGGTTCTTGATGCAGGGATGGGATTGCATGCCGCAAAATTTGAGAGATCGGTGTAAAGGAGAAAAGATTTATCGATCCTTATAACTTAAAACAATAAGTTCCATCGAAAAAATGGCTATTTACTTATTAGTTCAATTAAATTTTCTAATGTATTCTTGTCCGTGCATTGAGTCATAACTTAAAGAAGCCAGCAAAAGCAACTTCATAAATTAGTATGAAATGAAATTCTACTTTCATATTGCTAGCTTTCTGAGTTCTCTTTTGTTGTATTTTATTAAGGAGTATTCATAACTAGTAACACAATTCATTAGCCCATAAACATGGCATTCAAATGTTCCTACCTGTCTTTAGTACCTATATACAAGGTCATGAATGGTGAATATATACTGAACAGTAATTCCTATTCAATAGCAGATTTATATAGTTTTAAATAGTTAAGTAAAATGTTATTAAGGATTTTACTTTGGTTAAAGGGGTATTTATTTAACGTTAATCTTTTTAGCCCCAATTCCACCCCTTACGTCTCTGAATCCGCCACTGAATATGATACTCGTCATATACCTTCTCTTTCGGATGAGACCTTAATTAAATACCGAGATGGGCGTTGGCACGATAAAGAACCCTCACTGCTGAATGGCCCTGAGTGCCGAGAATCGGTCTAAATTTGAAGCCCTTCACGGTATATGAGTGAAAAATTCTCGAATGGGACGAAAAACAACATACAATCAATCTGTTTCGTTTTGGATAACAAATGGCAGCGACCTCAAAGCCACAGCAATCAGACATATTTTGCGATTTTTCTTGATAAATATTCTAATGCTAGTACCACTCTTTAGAAAATTTGTCTAATCTCTAATCTTATATAGGTACAACATACCGTATATAGCCTAAAGGAAGAATATCATGTTTGAACAGCGAGTGCACTTCTGACTTGCCAGAATCTATTGAAATCTGCATCAATTAACGATAAAATGTGCTGAAGACATTTATATGATTAATGCACGGAAACTGTTTTCAATGTGAAGAAAGGATCCTAAACTACGTTCAATTTATTCCTATATTAATTGTCTGTGGTTTAGAAAGCGTTATTATATCGACAAATAGAATATTGTACTGCAACAGAAAGCTGCATGGTCAAGTTTTAAACGAAGGTGCATTCGTTTTGCTTATATGCCAGTAAATAAATAAATGTCATGTCGACTCGACAGTATAAATTTACTTTGAACAACATTTTGAAAACATTAATATATTCTAGACATTATCGTTAATGCGCCACCCATTTTTATTAATCACTAATGGATTTTACCGAAAGCAGCATGGTAGCGCTTTATCTGACTTTAATTTGATGACAAAAATTCTAAAACTGCTTACCTAAGTCAATATTCTGTATTGACTGGACTTCAGAACATTCCTTTATTTCAGCACAACGATTATGAAAGGTTTATCTGCAACATAATGAATAAAATTGATTTAACTGAAGTGTAAAGTAAATCACAGACTATATGATTGCCTTAACAAAGAAGAAACATTACACAGTTCCTATATATCGTGGTGAATTCGGAGTCGTTTTAATAGATGCTTGATCATTTGAATAAGTAGTTCTGTGACGCCTTGTAAAGTCAAATCAATAGATTTCATTCACCTCAATCTAGAAGAATTATTGTAATGAATTAAGACCGAGAATTCGTCCCTTAAAAAGACAAAAATGGGCGTGACAGACTGAAATTAGATATGTATTTTTTACTTATATTCATGGTAAACGATTGGCAAAGAACAATTCTAAATTTTCTCTTTCAATATTGCCAACTCCTTATTATTATTCAATCAATTTTCCAATACTTTTTATATAAAATGCGCAACCCTCCAGAAAATTTAAAGAAATCAGTTTTCTGTATTGCGAAGTGAAAGGGGCATTTACGGTGTCTTCGAACAAAGTTAATGTTCTATGCTTATAGTTGTATTCATGTCGACTCATTAATTGATGACCTCTTGCAATATTTCTTTCTAAATTATTCTCTATACGAAGAATTTGAATTAATGAGATTTCCGGTTACTGGACCACCTTAAATTATTGAAAATCCTCTGTCGGAAATTGTCCAAACAGATTAACTCTTGCTAATCCCTTCACCTTGAAAATTAATATGACGGTGTAATAAGTAATAGACTTATCGGCGATTTACTAACGAATAACACATCTAGTGTAGTGGTGTTGTCAAGGCTTGCTTTTTATTACTTATACGTCTTGTAAATCTTGATCAACGAAAAGTTTGTATATTTCAGTCACAGATTTAAAAGGAAGAAATGATACCTCTGAAAAATAACTAAGTTACTAAGTTTCCGGAGCACAGTTTGATATTTGTCCTCGCATTGGTACAACATAATAACAGAACTAATCTCCAATGGGGCTAAATAATTTTTATACCACGTTTATAGAGAGATAAGTAAAATTGATATTATTGCTATATGTTTAATTATTACCTAGACGTGAAGACAGCTTGGGTACATGTAAATTCAGGCCAGTAAGAAAAGAATTTCAGTTTGGGGAGGAGGGGACCACCAAACATATTCAGTTTGAGGAGGGGCACTACCAAACAATATATATATATATATATATATATATATATATATATATATATATATATATATATATATATATATATATATATATATATATATACAAGATCGAGTTAATTGCACTTACATGAAAGATGCGTATTTTGTTAGGTATTTACAGTTTAAATTGACAAAAGATATTTATAAAAACTCACATTTTTTAGATTTTTTTTCTCACGTCTTCTATAATGCTCTTGTATATATATTTAGATCCTTTAAAAAATGACGACACATATCAATCTTTTTTAATCATCATCTTTCATTCATTCATTTGAATCCGGTATATCTACAATCCTTTAATTGAAAACACAAAATATAATTGAAATCCTCATACTGCATCAGACATGTTTACAAACATAACATGTAGCAACAGGGTGAACATTTAAAAAGTAAAAATATGTCAATAAAAATGTACTCGGATTAACCTACTCCCTTGTCGATGTGCAAGAAAGACTAATTTATACATATATGGGTCCTTTAAAAAACGAGGTGTGGGTCTAGCAAGTTAGGACTTACAGTAGTTAGGCTGTTTAAAATTCCACTTGATTTACAAATCTGTTCAAAGCATTTTTATTTGCTATCACGCTATCCAGTGCAGTGTGAATTACAACTGTCAAAGCAACAGAAATCGGTGGATATCAATAATTCATGAATTCAATAAAAATGTGTTCTTTGCATTTCAACGCATCGAACTCTATAGCTTTGCGAGAGCAAATCGATCTTAACCTTATACGATGCTCGCAGAATAAAAGGTTTGAATATTATACGTTATACCTTACCTTAGATACTTTACTTATATCCAAGACTTTTCCTCGTATATCCATGGAAGTATCATCAAATATGGATACAATTCCGATATAAATATTTCCCAGTAGAAATTGACTTATCTAATCCATTTAAATAACTGCGGTATTCTCGGCTACTAGATTCTTTTGCTAAATAACCCTTTCGTAGTTAGGTAAATACAACCTGGGTTCGAGTTTACAATTACTTATCAAAAAAGAAACATATTCGGGGCTCTGTTACAGAAAACACTGCAAAACCTTATTAATACTCCCTATCGATAGAAAATTCAATCCGTAAACGATAAATTAAATCCATTGGATAAGGCTTCGATTACAAATCCTACCACAAAATCAATCTTGAAGGACGGTGTGAAAAAAAAAATGCGATCAATCCCGAGCAATGAAAGAAAAGCAGTCCAACGGTGAATAAAACATGAGTATCATGTCAGACTGTGCCCAAGAATCTCCATAGGTCGGGTTAAGAAAGGAACTTCTCCAGACGTTTTGTTATCCCCCATTCATCAAACTTCGGAAACCAATTTGTGAAGAGAAGATTAGAACAGAACTTAACGGTAGATTAAACTCCGACTACCTACAAACCTTTCTATTAACTGCATAAATTAAAAAGGGAGCATAATAGAATAATACACATCTTCTCCGTTAATTCGTTGGCATTTAAATTGAATTATTGTACTTATTTATGTCTAATATGTTCACGACCCTGTGAGTGTTTTCATTTAGTGTTATATATACATCCAAAAGAATATGTTTTTTTTACTGTTACAATGAAAACTGTTATAACGACTCAACAAATACATGTACATATGTAATTATTATATTCTGCGTTGCGATCTACGCAAAATGTAATAAATGTAATGCAATTTGCAATAGAACACGTCCATACATTTTTGTGTTGTTATTAGATTTTGCGTTGTCTCATAACATCCATAATCCAATTTAAAAAATGCATCGCTACTTAGCTTCTAAATATCCTGTCGCCAAAATAAAATTGATGAAATCAATTAAATTCGCCTCACTGGGAGACTAAGCTTAATGGAATACTTGTAAGTCGTGGTCGATTGAGTATGACAGGTTAGCCGATTGCCGAGGTAGTCTGCCAATCGTGCTGTCCGTAAGAGGAGTGATTTCAGGAAAATTGTGCACAATCTATAATTATGCAATCGGTACATTGCAATTACTAGTAAATCATGGTTTGATTTATAACCTGGAGTGCAATGTTGCAACGAAAAGTGCTATTTAGTCGTAAAAATGTCCAAATCATATTGAATTGCATTACTACATGGGTCGATTTTATAAGGTTGTCTTCTCATCACACAAAATAATGAGGCCCATGTGCCCCAACGCTCACCTGAGTCACTTTCGCCCTACTGTTTTTTATCAGACCCCCCTCATATTTCTAAGTAAAATTTTGATCTCCAATCAAAGCCCCATCCAAACCCAAGAGTCCACGACTATAACAAAATTGAATCTACACTACCTGAGGATGCTTTTATATTAATTTGACTAATCATGGGTTTGTGTTCCTGAAAAGAATAATTCAAACTTTTCCTATATATTCCAATGTTAAATTTTGATTGCTTATTGTCGTCCCACCCTACTCCAAGGCCATGATTTGACAAACTTCAATCTACACTACCTGAGAATCCTTTCATATTAATATGACTTACCATGTCTTTGCTGTTCTTGAGATGATTTTAAAAGATTTTTTCCCTATATATTCCTATGTAAAACTTTGATCACCCATTGTGACCCCACCCTACCCCTGGGGGTCGGGGGTCATGATTTTGAAAAAAAAACTTGAATCTACACTACCTGAGGATGCTTCCATATAAATATGATTAATCATGGTTTTAATATACATTCCTATGAAAACTTTCATCTCCTTTGGTGGCCCCACCCTACCCTGGGGGAGGGGGGGGGGCATGATTTGAACAAACTTGCATCTATCATAGCTAAGGATGCTTCCACATTCAGTGTGTAGTGACATTTATATGACTTATCATGGCTTAACTGTTCTAGAGAAGAAGTTTTTTTCTTTAGATTTTTTCATATATATATAATATTCACATGTAAAAGTTTGATCCCCCATAGAGGCCCAACACTGAACACTACTCCTGGGGCAATGATTTGAATAAACTTGAATCTACACTCTATCTAAAAGCTTTTACATAAGTTTCATAATTTCTGGCCAAGTGATTCTTGAGATCTTTTAAGGCACCCACCCTATTTTTTTTTTCCATTTCTTGATTATCACCCCTTTAAAGAGGACATGTCCCTTTACGTTAATAAATTTGAAATCCATTTACCCAAGATGCCTTATGGTAAGTTTGGTTAAAATTGATCCAATGGTCCTGGAGAGGAAGTCAAAAATGTTAAAAGTTTTATAGACAGATGCCAGGTGATCAGAAAACCTCACTTGAACCTTTGGTTCCATGAGCAGAAATGTCATATGAATGCATCTATTGATCTTGCTGACAATCTAATTAAAATCAGACTTCTTAGATCGACACCGTATACTGTAGATTCCCAAATATGCATGAGGAATTAATTAATGCATAATTTTGCATGAAGCACCACTCAAGAAATAAAGTCACACAATTTTATTTTTATGGTGCTGAAATGTATGCTAAATCTCTAGATTAAACGTCTACTCGCGAATTATTGTTCTCATGATTTGATGTCTAAGGGCCATTTCGCAATATACAATGTAAAGTACTAGCGTAAAATGAGGAATCTACAGTACACTCTGTGTAAGAGTCAAACATCTTTATTTCCAAATCAACTGACAATAGGACTGTGATTAAACTTCGAGATATCTGAGGATTCATGATAAGGAGGTTATAAAAAATTTTCTCTTCTATGATCATTCAAAACTCATGCATCACACACTGTATAAACATGAATATTGATTACATTGTGCAATGTACAATGAGCTATTTTTGCATAATTAATTCATTACGATTTAGATTATGAATGAAAAAAAATATTCACTCAACACTTTTTTGGCTTTGAAAAAAAAGCACTTGCCATGTACACAAGTAATATCAAGACTGTGGCTGAATAATGCTATGTTAGACCTCCTTCACTACCCCCAGTAGAGGTAAATTACTGCCAGAACTAGTTATGTTCCTGTGTCCAATGTAGATCTGAGGCATTTTAAAGAAAAAGATGTTGTTAATGTCACACATTTCACATCTTTTTCATGTTTTTTTTTTTTGTATAAAGTGTTTTCAGTCTCTCCATAAGTGGGAACATTCCATATTGCAGCATTTGTAAAAAGTTGTCATGGGCTCATCAGCTGATCTCGTCTGTATCTGCATGAAATATGCTCTGTTGTGGCTGCACTTTGGACAGGTTTCTAATGGGAGAGAAATACTCATTTAGACCAGTAAAGATTTCTGGAAAGTGACAATTTGTTGAATCAGCTGCAAGTTCTATTTCAAGTGCACAAATGTATTATGCCTCTGTTCATTATTCTTCATGTTGTAAAAAGTTCTTTAAGAGATACTTGAACTTAAAATAATATTTTCTGACTTATACTACTTTCACTATTACTGTGAGTGTTATACAACATAGGTATCTGAAATTTCCTTAGCAAGATGATAGATAAAGCCATAGAAACATCCCCCCACCCTCCATTTCCATCTTTACATATTGAGTGAGGTTTTATTTTTATCTAACCTATCTCTGTAATCGGTTTCTTTCTTTCTTTTTCTTTTCTTTTTTAAATCAGATACCTGTGGTTGGAGTTTAATGACAAAACACTTCTGTCCCCATCACAAACCTTCTGTAGAATCTACATTTTCCCATGCTGCTGCTCCACCCAATACATCATCAACCTCCTTCAATTTTGGATATTTTCTTGATGTTATCTATTAAAAAATATTCAAATAAAATAATTCATAATGGAGATCCTATCTGTATACTGTTTTCTTGTAGTATTAAATCATGTAATCTGACACTGAACAGGTCCAGTACAATCAGTACATTTAGCTACGTAGCTAAAATTACCTACCGTAGCTTTATTTACCTACCTCAGGTAGCTTTTTTTTAGCTAATTCAAGGCAACTTTTCACAATTTTGCTTTTTATTTTAAAAAGACAAAACGTCGCAAGAAAATGTCTACTAATATTTATTCTAGGTATCATTTAAAAAGCAATCTAAAGCAGAGATAGTTTTAACATTGCTGCGTTTGATCATTTTTAAGGGAAATATGTATTCCCATTGTTTGAGTAACTGTACGCACCTTGTGCTCGATGAGGCGTGGATAAGTATGATTACTTCACATTGTGCTCATGTTAACCAAAACTGGTTTTCTTTGTTATTACACTCAAGAAGTAACTGTTAGGTCACAAATTAACTGTTGTATATAGCCCAAAAAATTTTAGAACTTTGATTGCAATTGCGCAAAAAAAGACACATCTCCAAGAGTGATTTTTTCATGAATTGTTTTCAGATGAGTTCAAACTTGAAAATTATCACTGCATCAAAGTGCAATTTTCTGCACTTTCTGGAAAAAATTCTTATTCAAGAAATAAGTTTGATTTAGTAGCTAAATAAAGCTACTTCAGGTAGGTAAATAAAGCTATGTAGGTAATTCAAGCTATGTAGCTAAATCTAGTGATTGTACCAGACCTGCTGAATGGATCCAATTGTCGAATATAGAAAGTGTGCTTTGTCAGTTATCTTAACTATTAGCTATAAGTTGATAATTATTGCCCTGGACATTCTGACAATTGGGGAAAAAATCTCGACATCTCTCTAATCTGTATATATCATTTATCTGTGTACATACATGTAATACAGGCCTAACTGCATGTACATATAGATACTTAGTGGGTGTTTTCCCCTTAGGGCTAAATTAAACTAAAATATTGATCAAAATTCGGGTCTTGAGTTTAACGTTACACGTATGAAAATAAAAGTCACTCTGAAACACTATTCTCGATATATGACGAAATATTAGGAAACACAACCTTTGCTCTATAACAGCTGTATAATCACAGTCCAATAAAACAAGAAATGACACTCAGTGAATTCGCAAATAAAAAAAAAATACACAAGCATACCTTTCTCTGAATATTTTGAACATATGGACAGGTGTTGCAAGCAAATCGATAGCAATTCTGTCCTTCTTCAACCACTAAAACATTAGCACATGTTGGACAAAATGTCAACATTTTGGCGACTTTTACTTTCCTTTTTTAAGAGTTGTTAAACCGTACATGCATCATGTTTAGATATTTTGCATTTCCCCACTGAAACAGACATTTATATTTATAATGCTACTTTTAGCGTTTATTTTGAAATATTTTGACATTATCGTTAGAATATATTAGGATTTATCCATGTCAATTTGATTAATTAACTATGTAGGTGTTAATAATCTACTTTCACTTTAGCTAGAAGAGGTAAAATACGTAAAAAGAAGGAAGACCACACGTCTTGTTTCTGGAACTGGCATGGCATTAGATATGAGATAATTAAATTGAATCAGAAGGTATATTATGCAACCTTTTAACGTATCTGTGGTCATTTTATTATGATATCTAGCTGTTTTGTCATAAATATCTGACGTTTTCCAGGCTCTTTTCATGATATTTGGCCTTAAAACGTCAAAAACTGAATTTGAAAACACATTCTGGATGTAATGTATCAGTGCATTTTTGGAGCATGTCCATTCCTAAGTACCGGTAACTTTGCTAAAGACGATGAATACCTGAATCAAACTTGCACTGATGATGTGTCTTATAATGCACACTTCTGCAGCCTTGCTTCAGATACTGCATTTTCCAGAATTATATCTAAAACACTAGGCCTATAAGAATGAAAATAAAGAATTTACTATTCTTTCATTGACTTTCAAAAATTTAAACTGTCATAGTCAACATTCATTTTTATGAGACCTTGTCCCTCTTCTTGATTACAGATATACATGTGTATTGATCTGAACTTTGAAATCTCAGATAGCCATTGTTTGTTAGAATGTACCGAGAAGTTATAAATTTATTTCATATCTTCATAGAATAACACTATAATGTCCAAAAATAATTGGAACCATCCAACTGATTTAGAAGAACCAGGCACAAGTAAAGATGCAACAGACACAAGTAAAGACATGGCAGACACAAGTAAAGACACAGCAGAGTCAAGTAATGAAGTAGAGAAAAGTTATGGGGAAGATGGAGAAGTAGAGGAAATGGATTCCTCAGAACTGGTGCTCTCACATCAGGAGGCCATGTCAAAAGTAGAGGCAGCTATTGATGATATAGTCTCCGTAAGTTTTATGACAGAAGGGGTGGTGCCAAGCGTAGTACATGTGTTATTCTCATGACTTATCTTGAGAAATTACTTTTACTTCACTTCTGAATGTAAAGAAGTTACTGTGAAATGAAGCTACAAAGAAATCACAATTTTAAAGAATACTGGTTCAGTTTATTGGTTCACACATGTAACATCAATGTTTTTAAGTCTGACACCTACATAATGCAGATGATTAATGTCATCTGTCATTATGAAACATTAGCTCATTATTGATATCTTCTCCAGAACTTTTAAAATAAGTCTACGTAAAATTTTTCATGTATTTTTCACTGGACATTCAGTCTGGTATAAATGCAAAAGGATTGGTCACGAGTTCTTAAAACTTACACCCTCTCCACACAATTACATGACAAGTCTAAACTAAGTCACAGTTAATCACATAAATGAAAATGAAATACATGTATATGATGGCTTCTAGGTTATACTTGAAACAAAACTTATTCCGTAGAAAAGCTAGAAGGTTGAAATTTGCAATTGCAGACTATATATATATATATATATATATATATATATATATATATATATATATATTTTAGGAATGACTCTAATTCTTGGCCAAATTATTCGAGTATAACCTGGTTATACTCGAATAATTTGGCCAAGAATTAGAGTCATTCCTTATAATTTAATTTTAAAATCATTAAATAACTATGGGTGTAAAATTCCGTTACTTTTTATAAGTTCAAATTTGCCGCCCAATAATACAACCGTAGTAACGGAAGTGATGGGAAGCGAGGGGAGGTAAAAACTGATACATAGGCCTAGCAGCCATGTTGTTTGGTTACATGTGGTAAGATCGAATTATCATTTGAAATTAAAGGTACATTTATTAAATCTGGAATTTTCCATGAATCCCGAGGACTGGAAATGAGAGGATTGTATGGATACAGATGATTCAGCTGGTTGTCAAGGGGGTGTGTCCCCATACCAAACCAGGTTATACAGAAATAATTTGTGTTCGTTTTTGGATATTAACCAATCAGAGGCTAGAATACAAACAAAATTAAATTATATATATATATATATATATATATATATATATATATATATATATATATATATATATATATATATATATATATATATATAATTTGATTTAGAAACCATTGGACAGAGTGAAATTTCACTGAATGTCAGATATAGTCTGAAAAAATTTTTATGGATCAATTATTAAACAAACCTATTTTCTAAAGTGTATATGGCTTGTTTTTTTTTTTTTGTTGTTGTTGTTTTGTTTGTTATTGTGTGCGTGTGTGTGTGTTTTTTTGTTTTTGTTTTTTTTTTTTGCATGTTTTCTTAAATACATACAAGGATTATTTCTTCTATTTCAGAAAGATCCCCTTCTATATGACCTTCCACCAGAGGTGACCTTGGAGGAAATAAATTCCTTTATTGCCCTGGAGCATGGTCAGGCTATAGTGGTTAATGTCAGAAGAGCTGATGGAGAAGTCCTGTGTTTGTAGTCATCTCTATTTATTTTATATATATTAGTTCAAAGGATAGGGAGCTGATGATTATGCAGCTGTTTATAATTATTTTTAAGTATTCATGCAAAACCATTGTTCCCATTTCTGAATTCATATTTAGAATGGAGACAGGTGAAGACAATGTTTATTTTCAGATAATTGCATTTGTTAGTTTTTTTCCCCAAAATTTTGAAGGGATGCTATATTTGCTAAACATATTAAGCTTGTTTAAGAGAAAGGTTCACTTTATAGGCCTTATTTAGGTCCCGTAGAATTTTGATTCCTTAACTTTTCTGAATAAGGCTTAAGAATCCAATCCTTTGAACAAGAAGACCACAGGTCAACTCATATCTGATATAGGCGATGCAATTTCTTTGCTATAGTGTCTGTAGTATCTCATAAATTTTGGCATTTTTCCTATTTCATCTGAGTTTCTTAAAAAATTGCAATATTCTGAGCTTAATTTCACAATTTGCAGATAAAAATTCCCTTTACAATTTATGTGTATTACATCTCAATTCACAACAGCTGTGGTAGTGGTTCAGAATGGCACTGTCCTTGACCTTAAACATGCCATTAAACGTCACATGACCTTGAAGCTGTCTCGCAGCAAAGGAAAGAAGCACATCAGTTGGTAAATATTTTTCATTTGCACATTACTTTCTACATGTATATTTAAAATAAAATTGTGCAAAATTTTAACTCTGTACCTCTTAATTAAGAAATACTCTTTTATTGCCACAGAGCTCAACACTTGCATTTAAGAACTTATCATTTCCATTTAAGTTTCATCTGGATGACTTACCGGGTACATGTACATGTAAATTTTTGTCAAACAAATGATGAGCTTGGTCAAATAGATAATTTTGTATTATTATTTAGGTTATTTTTTTCACTGCAGATGGAGACAGGGTGTATATCATGATTTACGCATGTTCTGTTGGAGTACTAATACAGTATTAATACGCTTTACATTTTGGGTAGAAAAAAAATTCATGTACATGTACTAGAACTTGACGATTTTCTTTGGGCATCCTGATGTCTGTTAGAGCAATCTGATGTTCTGCATTTAGCAACCTAGAAGTTAGTCCTAGATATGAGGAGTGTTACATATTCCCTGTAGTCATTCTCAATGAGATATTCAAAAAATATATTTATGCCCCCCTTCGAAGAAGGGAGGGCATATTGCTTTGCTGCTGTCTGTCTGACGGTCCACCAACAGATACCGTTCATTTTCTTTGCAGAGGTTGCACATACTGAAATGAAATCTTGTATACAGATTTATTATAAAAATATCTAGGTTAAGTTCTGTTTTGGGTATGATCGACAATTTTTGACAGAGTTATGCCCCTCGGACTTAGAAAAATTCCAATTATTTGCAGTTTCTGTTCATTTTCTTCGCAGAGGTTGCACATACTGAAATGAAATTTGGTATACAGATTAATCATAAGAATATCTAGGTCAAATTCTGTTTTGGGTATGATTAAGCAATTTTTGACAGAGTTATGCCCCTTGGACTTTGAAAAATTCTAATCATTTGCAGTTTCCGCTCATTTTCTTCCGTAGGTTGCACATACTGAAAAGAAATTTGGTATACAGATTTATCATAAGAACGAATATCTAGGTCAAGTTCTGTTCTGGGTATGATCAAGCAATTTTTGACAGAGTTATGCCCCTTGGACTTAGAAAAATTCCAATTATTTGCAGTTTCTGTTCATTTTCTTTGCAGAGGTTGCACATACTGAAAATGAATTTTTCCAAGTCCAAGGGGCATAACTCTGTCAAAAATTGCTCGATCGTACCCAGAACAGAACTTGACCTAGATATTCTTATGATGAAATTGTTTTCATTGATTTTCCAGGAAGTATATTTGGAAAAGATATTGGCTGTATTTTGAAGGGCAGAAACTCAATGAAGATAAGAAGCCTCTAAAAGAGTGAGCATTAAATCTAGTACATGTATTTAAATCAATAAAGTGGCACCAATGTATACAAATTCTTTGCAAACAAGACATGTTTTATTCGTTATTTCAGATATGGCATCAGAAACCGAGATGAAGTGACATTTATAAAAAGACTAAAGGAAAGGTGACAAAGTGAAAATACTTTGGAAGCATTCAAAATAACAATACATGTCTGACCAACTTGCTGCCTTATTTTCAAGGGAAACAACTCTAGTGTCGGACAAGAGCAGTCCCAAGCTCCCTAGGCATTTGTGTGCCCACCAGTGGACATGCTTTTATCATGGCACTGCTGATATACATGTACATTGTATTGTGTAATCTGTAGGAAAAATACATGTATTAAAATTCCAGATGTATATTATTACAGATTGCTTTATTACAGTGATTTGTTAGCTAAGGGAAAAGATTTGTTAAATAAAGATTAGTTTTCAAATATTTTTGAATTTTTTTTTGTTTTATTTAATGATTTAAGGGATTAATTTTGGTTTAATGAATTGCCACTTTAAACATTACATGTATCTTGAGATATCAAATTGATATTTGGCCTTTCCTGGATGTTGATAGTAACAATGTTTTACCAGGCTTTAGCATCAAAATAATCATTCACCGCTACGCCCTGTGTATGACTAGGAATACAAAAATTAAGATGGAAAACCATGTAATATCAAGAATATTTATTGAAAATACAATGTGTATTACATGTAAGTTCACCACAAACAATGGAATACTATGATATGTATAGACCGGAGATGTAGCACTGCAAGGATGCTTTCTCCTTCACTTTTCAAAAAAAAAAAAAAAATCCCTAAAAATATGCACAAATTTTCAAGGCAACTAAGATAAGATTTACATTCAAATGATAACAAAAGAAAATGCCCATAGGTAGTTGAAAAAAAATAATACCTCAAAAAATTGGTAACACCAGGAGTTAATATTCAAAATTAGTTTGAAAAGGAAAATTGACATATACATGAATTTTAGTGTTCTTTCAATATTTAACTAGACAGGTGCTTACATAGTTAAAAAAAAAAAACACCCATTAACATTCACTGTTAAACTGTTCCATCTTTGACAACTATAATTCACAGCATCCTGAACCTTACAAGCATCTATAAAACGAAAGACAACAAAGCACTCCTGGATTATAAATCATGGAAAAATGCAACAATTTCATTATGTACTACAGCTAAAACACTGTACAAGTCCTGAAGTTTAAAACAGAACTACAAAGCAAAATCACAAAAAGCAGAATGTTAGAAATGAAAACTAAATACTATAAAATATAATAATATCACAATTTACTTCATTCAACAGAACTAAATAGGTCATAATTACCATACCTGTTACATGTATGTTAATCACTACTTATCTACCATGGTAAAGATCAATGGAGAAAAAAATTATCTATGTAAGAAACTAAATGATAATAACTAACTCAATATGGAATGACATCATTTTAGATAGTGTATACCATATGGGCTACTTGCTAGAAAATAACACTACACAAATGTATCAAATTTTGTGAACATTAGGATACCATCATAACACACTTTAGATAAACTACAGGCACTTCAACTTAATACTTATCCATAGCATATTCATGTACATGTATCTAAAAAAAAAAGAATGTACTTGAATACATGCTTTCAATGTATATTAAGATGATATGCCTGTAAGGTATACATTGTCTACTGAGAAATATACCTCCTGTTTTATGGTAAGCATAAAACATCTCTCGTATTTTTACATTTCACATTCCAGATAAAAAACAGACTACAATGTATATTGACATATTTAACATCTACTTTCAAATGTCGCATTCCAGATAAAAACAAACTTCACTGACAAAGTTACACAAGTTAAGATGATAATTATCCCAATCAATAAGGAGGGGTGAAATTTCCAGCATCTACAATAGCACAATAATATAGCACTCTACTTACAAATGATAACAAGGGAGGGAACTTGGTACATAGTAAAGATGCTTGTTAGTACTCTATTTACAAAATAACAAGGGAGGGAACTTAGTACATTGTAAAGATGCTTGTTCCACTATCAACAACAACAAAAAAATATGTAGAGTCCTGATTAAATGTATGAATATCTTTCTTCAACATTTTATATGAATGTAAATAAAGATACCAGTTTAAATATTTTTAGAGGTCACAAAGTTTTTTTCGTCATTTAATCTTCTTTTGAGATCTTGCTCAGTATAAAAATATCACAGATATTTGCTTTATAGACATTAGTAAAATAGTAATTTTCAAAACAATAATAACCTTGTAAATCTGGTTAAGGAAGAAAATAAAATGCACTTGTAAATTTTGACAAAGATTCTTCATTGATTTAAATATTTGATACTTAATACAATCTTTGGAGGAAAAAAAAATCTATTAAAAGTAAGCCATATTAGTCTCTTCGTTGGTTCTAACAGAAAGATATAAAGAGCATATTAATTAATTCTGCATGTGTCTCTACACTGTAATATAACTCGTAATGAGGAAGTACTGGAGACTCCCCTCCGGATTCTGAAATCCATCCATTGCTGGATCTACATAGATTTCATCCCCATCCATGATATCAAACCTACTGATTGGGAGGGACTGGGTCTGCATTATCAGCTCCTCAAAGGTTTGCTCATCCTCCCGGTGATGGGGGCCACATGCATAATGGAACAACTTAAAGTTACGCAACCTGGAAACACCAAAAACACATTAGTGCCCATTATGTGCAAGCATATTTAATATAAACAGAAATAATATTCCACGTGAAATTGGTCATTTATGGTCAAGAAAGTTGAATAGGAATCATAAGTTGATAACTATGTGTAAGGTATAGTCTAAAAAAAAATCCAACTAGACATGGTTGAAAGAATTTACAATTGTAAATTGTACTCTGAAGATCTGCATTATTAAGAATCTTTAAAAAAAAAATTTTTAAAAAGAAGAAAGTTTACACTTAAAACACAGAACACTTACGAAGCATAGAGAGCAAATTTCTGAGCAGCCATGAGCCTAAGTTTCCCAATGGGTTCGACAACGTGGACTCTCTCTTCATAGCGCTTGTCACAGTAAATAAATGTGACTGTGATCCACTCCTTATATCCACCACTTATGTCTATATCCATCAGGGGTTCCAGTTTACCTAGAATAAGGAAAAAGAAATATAAGCATGACAATTCATCTGGTTAATAACAGGAAAACAAATTTCATACAAGGGGGAAAAAAATCATAAATTTTTAAAACAATATTTATATTCTTTCTAGCATAAAAATTCAGTTGAATCTTTTGATCTCCAAATATACACTGTTAATTAAAAAGTGGCAAAGATTAATAATGTAAAACTTAAAGAAGAAAAACCCATTATAAAATTCCATTCCTAGAAACTCACGAAAGGCGAGTAAATGAACAGACTTCATTATAAATACATGTATCAAGGAGGATTACCCCGGTAAGCTTTTTGATATGAGATGATGAAAGATTTTAAAATGAAACTGACATACCATGCTTAGCCTCTAATTCATGAAATCTGTCTGGTTTGTGCTGTTTGTCCATGAAGTATCGGAGAAAATGTCTTTCTGACTTTTCTCTTTCTGTGCTGGTTACTTCACTTCCATTCAATATTTTGATGCTTGGCATTCTGTTAAAGAAGGGTATTGTATATAGAAATGAAGATTTTTTTTCAATCTGAAGTTTACTGCAAATGCTATAAATTTTTTAGGGATATACATGTACATGTATTTATAAATTTAAATTTGGTACATGTAACATACTGTGCAACAAGAAGTTTTCTTCTGTCATCTGTGTCTAATTCTTTCACTAAAGGAACATCCTGTGTGAAATGAACAAAAATAAATATTAGTTACTCAATTCATAATAGCCAGTCTAAAAGGTAAGTTTTTCCTCTGATACATGAATCTATACAATTGTGACTTCAGTAAATCAGATTAAATAGTCCAGACCTTGATTCTGAGAGATTCCAAAGCAGGGTACTTTCTGAGTTCTTCACAGTGAGCCCAATCATTGAGCTGAGTCTCACTCAGACAGACTAGTTTGAGTCTGGAGAATGGGTCACTGTGTTGGCAGCACATGCATTCCAAGTCACTGTCTGTTTCTTCCATGTCATCTCCTCCTACATGTATTATTCGAAAAATGTCATCCACAATATCTTCCACAATGTCTTGTACATCCATTGAAACATCTCTCTCAATGGTTTCTCCATTTCCTGTGTTTTCTGGACAGCATATCTTGCACCCCTCTTTTTCTTTGTAAAAGATGTGTTCAATAGGGTTCCCAGAGAGAATTAGGGATTCTAAGCAAGGCAGATTTTTTAGTTTCCATATTTCCTCCCAACTGAAATTCCAATAGTGTCATATAATACTTCTACCCACAGGAATATTTATTACATTTGTTCAACTTGTACACAAGCAGACAAACAAACAGACAAATTAAAGTAAGTAACAGGATTCCAGCATTTACCTTCGGAGTCTGTTGTTATTAAGTCTGAGACAGCTTATGTTCTGCAAATACTTATAAGCATCCTCTGGATGATCCAAATCTTCATATTCTACAATCATATTCAAATAATTATATTTCAGATAATAAAAAGGTCAAATTCATTGGTCAAATGAAATCTATGATAGCAATTTTAAACAATATATCTTTGAATACAGCTGTAAAAAAATAGATAGCATTTATTTGCATCCTTCCTTTCTCCTTGTCTCTCCCTGAAACCACCCTCAGACTGCTTAAGAAAAGCAAATAGAAAAGACCTTGGAATTATCTGAGAACTAGTAATACAGCCAATCCTTGTTATCTCAAATTCAATCAGACTTTGAGGTATCCATGGATTCGTGATATCAAGGGTAATTAAAATACAGAAGGAATAAGTGGTTGGTGACTTCAATATATCCATGATCTTCGAGATATTGATGTTTGAGATACCCAGGTTCAACTGTATGTACATTAAATTTATACAGCACATTATTTACGATATGGAATTCTACTAATAATCAGGGATGGAGTCAGTTACATATGAAAGTAATTAATTAAATCACAATTACTTGCCCAAAACCTTCAATTAAGGTATATCACTCGTCAGCCTTTTAGAAAATTTCAGTCAGAACCTCTTACTTAAAAGCTATTTATTACAATTCAATCTTTATAACATATTTAAATTAAACATTGTAAGATGTTCAACATTCAATTAAAAAACTGCTCAAAAATTCACAAAGAAGCAAGATTTATAAGGGACTATTTCTTGTGGCGTAAGGATATTTAGCAGAAAATTCTGCAAATCTACACATTTATTAAATTTAATATCTTGGAACCTTAGCCTCCCATACTTTTACTCAGAGAATATTTTCCGTTATGATATGCCTGGAATATTAAATATATGTCTCAATTTATATTTTTATAACAAAATTTACACCTTCGCTCAACAAACATTGCCAAGAAATGAAGATACTAGTATATTAAGGAAGTCGAGATAAAATTTACACAGTTTTTTGCCTGAAAATTGCATATTTTGACCAATAATTCAAAATTTACATCACTAACCCCAACTTTTTCTTTCATTATTTTAAACCACTCGATACTTATGCACTTAAGTCGTAAAAAGTTTGATACAAGAAAATATTCTATTGCCTATTTAGATTTTTAATACCCCAAATATGAGACTTTTTTAGTGCAAATAGGTCACACAATAATTTACGCGCATTAATTTGCATGATTTGTTCAATGATAAATATTATTCAAACTATTTTACGTAAAATAAGATTGTGTTTATTGCCATAGTTACATCTTATAAAATATGATACCGGTTAAAGTGATTAACAAAAGTGTTACAATTTAAGTGCAAAAAGGTCAACTTAATTGTACCTTAGCTCAGTTAGATGCACACTGACCCCCCATTTTCTCTGCGATTTTGAGTCATACTATATGAGTACTTATCCAAAATATACTTCTCAAAAAATCCTTGATATAACAAATTTCACGAGTGACATACCTTAAATCACACAATTATCATTACAAAGATTTTGAAATTTAATGAATTAAAATACAATTACTTTGCAAATGTAATGAATTAAATTACATATAACTACATTTGAAGAAAACACTTCGACATCAAACTAAGGCAGGTAAAAGTGATATAAATAGTTATGACAGTTTTCATATATTCATATCATATTCACACTAATATTTTTTTACAATTACAGCAGATGTATTGAATCATCAAACTTTGAAATGCTGTGTCCCCTAACCTACATGTCTATCAGGCTGAAGGTTCTTTCTGCCATCGATTGCTTTTTCTACTGGGGCAGATGTGTAAGGAATAGCCACAATAACTTCCCCAAACAATATCCTCATACATGTAACCTCCTTTAATCTATATATTCCTTTTTTTCTTTGGAGTAAATCTAACTATTGTTTATGATAAACTGGTTTTATAGCATACCATTTTCACAGGCATGCAATTCTTTCAGGGACGGAATCTTTTTTGACAAATCAATAACATCCTGCCAGCTGGTGTATGTTCCATTCAACACTAGATTCTCTATCTGAGGAAGGGTTGTAGCCCAAGATTGAATGACATTCTACAAACAAATATATTATTGTACCTAACATAAAAAAAATCAATTGTTAAAGGTACATATGTAAAAAAAAAAAAAAAAAAAAAAAAAAAAAAAAAAAAAAAAAAAACAGGATTGCACATAACCATTCGCCCATTAGCAAATGCTAGTAATTTTGCCTGTGGGCAACCAGCTCTTTAGGATGTAATTGCTCATATGGTGAACAAGAATTTTATCAGAACCTGACCATGCTTTGATTCTATGAATAAATGGACTTTCATTTTCACTGTGTTTCCCTACCTGCAACATGCTTTCTGCCCCCTTAAATGCCTTAACATTAAAACTTTATGAAGTCTCAGAATGTTGGAAATGATGCAATATTATGTCATTCATACATGGTGTCGAAATCATCAGGGAAATGAAAGACTGTGGACAGCAAAGTATATTTCTCAGAGATTAAAATACAAAAAGATTGAGAAAGTTTTTTTTTTTTTCAAAGTGGAGAGAAAATTGTGGGCCCCAAAATAACATTGTGGCTAGAAAAACTTGTAAAGTTGGGGCCCACATGGCCCCTAAGGTTTTTAATGTTATTTGCAACCCTGAAAGATCAATTTCTCAAAGGAATGGTCAGTAGAAGTAAAATATCATTCACACCTTCAATAAATTGATCATTATTAACTTTTTATGTAGCTGAAATTCACCTCTTGATTTTGCAGCAGGTTTCTAGCTAAATTTACAAATTTAAGGCACTGTAGGTTAGACAAAATGGTCAGCATGTCTTTCCAATCTGTTAGGGCATTGCTTGAAAGGTCAAGGTCAACTACATTAGGACACAGAGTGGACAATCCTTCATTTGGCAAACCAGCATGACCAACAGCACTGTTAGTCAGTACCTGTGAAATAAAAATAAAACATCAAATCTCAAGTTTCTGTTTGCATTTAATGCCGTCATACTTAATGTATCACATGGGGGTCTGGAGTTTGCATAGCAACTCATCTGAATGAAGAACTGGGGTTGGAAGGGGGGCTACATATTATCACCATGCAAGCAAACATAATCTTTATTATAAAATTGATTTATCTTCTCACATGCACTGATGCAAGCATACTTTTATTTTTTTTCCTCCTAATAAATTTAAAAAATGTTTTAATTATGACTGAGTTTATATTGTACATTGACACATTTTTTTCAATTATTCAACTTCATATTGCTTAACCAGCTAAATGAGACCAACACACTAAACATCACGATTAACGTGATAAACATGATAACAGAACGGAATGCATTATCCAACAATTATTTGGCCTCGTGCCAAAGTAGGTCAGCTGTTTGATGTTCTATTTTTGTAAACAAAGCAAAAATATAAACAAAACATATATCAACACAAAACCATACGTACCACATTTCTGAGATACGCCAATTCTGCTTCAGAGTCATTTGCCTTAGGTTTCCCCGTCACCTTTATGTCGATCACAAACCCCGAAGTAAATATTTTATTGGGATCGCTCATGCAGTATTTTTCCTTGACAGCCTCTGTAAAAGATTTCTTCCTTAATCTCCTTTTCCGTCCTTTTGAAGACGGAAGCATTACACTAAAGGCAACGTTTTTTCGCTCCATTCTCTCTTCCTCCATTTTCAAATGGACGGTTCTAAAGTATTTGAACCTTTGACGAATCATTTATATTTTTAGAACGAGACCGATATTGACGACTTAGCCACGAGACACCCCTTTGTTATTATTTTTCTATAACGTGATGCACACATTCATCGTTCCATAAACCATTTGAATGTGATAATAAAATGATGATTGTAAATAAATCTTAGTCATATTAAATATTCTTCGCTAAATAATACTAAAATATTTTCGCTCATTGATCGACAAAACATTTTCCCGTCAAAATCTGAATAGTGCATCACGATAAGCAAAGCTCGGCAAACTTCGGCATGTCTGCCGATTGACGTTTCGAAGTTTTCCGGAAATGACCGATCTTTCCGGAAGAATGACGTAATATTCGGTATTCCTCGGCTTTCTACCATCATTGACGTCACACACAGTCAAAGATGTCTGACTTCGATGCTTTCGAAAGTGAACCTCCAGCACAAAACGAGGAGGAGGACCCAGCAGCTGCCTTCTTGGCCAGGGAACAAACGGAATTAGCTGGTTTAGAAGATGATGAATTCACACAACAAACTGATGAAGGTAACTTCCTCATCATACACCACATAATACAAATTATTTGCCGGTGTCCGCCCACCATGCTCCGACAGTCCAAGGTGAACAATCCCACGATTTAGGCTACATAGCTTTAACTTGCTATTCGAAATATCTCCATGAATTTATTTTAGCTATTTCTCCGCAAATATACATTCTAAAAAATTGTAGTTTTGTGACCATTGTTGATTGGAGAATGTAGATGATTTTTGGCCAACAAATGAGTAATCATGCCTGTCTTCTTATACTTATCTTTTTTTAACTTATAGCTATAAACATGACTTTTCTCAGCTTTTCTGGCCTATCTTTAAAATACTGTAACTATTCTCATTTTTTTTTAATGTTTTTAGGGCAGTATGATATGTTTGAAGGTGGAGAACCCCAAATAATGAATGGAGCCCCAGGTTTCATGGGAGAAAACCAGTTTGATGAAGCTCAGGTATGAAAGACTTTCTTTTGTCAGAAAGCAGTGGATTCCTTCTCAATAACTATGGATCAAATTTGTACACATTTTTTTCTCATTTTGATAAAATATACCAAATTTTAGAGATATGTTAAAGTAGCACTTGTAGAATCAAAGTTCTTATATTTCAGAGGTAAAAGCTGCTACAATGAAATTAGTTGTGCTTGTCCATTACAGACAATATTCAAGTCATTAATTGATAATTGAAAATCTTGACTTTGCCCTGTTTAAATTTTACTTAAAACCTCTTTTTCATTTACTCTAAACCTTAAAGAACACCATATTTTTATGAAGAGAGCAATGAAACTGCCCAGTAATAAGTGTTGCTTCTGTGATCGATTGTTATAGAAAATCAGTCATTTGCTATTTGCTAGTATAGTTGAAGCCCCAATTGCAAAATACTTTTGAATTAGTTAATTTATAGTATTTTTTTTCAATTGTGCCATATTATTTCAGCCCTGCTGAATACCCTAAATAGACAGTTATGATCAAACATCATTCTTTTTCTTTACCCATATGGGTTTCTCCACATGATAATATATTCTTCATACATGTACATGTATTTAGTATTTTTCTAGGTTACACTAAATTACCTATTTATACTCCTCAAGGATAAAGTGTATGCATGGATATTTTATTTCAATAACAAGACCAGATAAAAAAAAATTTCTGCTTAGGGAATGCTTGGGTTCATTACTACAATGTACTACCTTTTAGTTGTTTATGAAGGAATTTCTTGCTTTCTGGATATAGTCCATGATTAATTGAGAAAACCAATCACTCTCAATGAAATCCTTTATACCAATTCCCATCTCTCTTGGAAATTAATAAAATTCAAGAGATTGAGGAAATGATGATCTACAATATTGATGGAGAACGAAAAATTATTTAATCATTTGAAGGTTTTCAATGATTAAAACTATCGTACATATGTCCACCCTTCACTGAATACTTACTGTAGTACTTGCTGTATTTACAATATGTGCAATGTTCATGCAGGTAGCATACATCATTCTCTGCAGCTGAACTCTTGGTAAAAATTTCAGGAAAATTTAAACACCATTTTTTTTTTGGACCAAGCAGAGTATCGACCAATTTAGCCTTGCTTTTGTATTTAGTTCTATCTTGATGACAGATATATGTATTTACAATATAAGTTGTTTTGATACATGTATTTATGAAAGATGCTTCATTTTCTGCAGACAAATGGCCCCTCTGATGCATACTCGGCCATCACCTCAATGGACAAAGAGAGGAGTGAACCAGAAAAACTCAGGATTTGGAGAGAAGAACAGAAAATGAGATTAGAAAAGAAAGGTTTGGTCTAGATTAGTCTTAAAAATTGGGCAAACATTCTTGTCAGTCAATATATATAAAATCCTCATGTTTCAAAATATAAAAAGTTGAAAACAATACATGGTAATGTAATTTTAAAACATGTGTAATTATCAGATTTGTTTTAATGAATGATCGATTTTTTTTGTTTATCTTTGGTAATTAGATGCAGAGGAGGCCCAGAAAAAGGAAGAATGGAGAGAGGCAGCGAAGAAGGAGTTGGATGATTGGTACAAACATCACAATGAGCAGATACAGAAGACAAAGGAAACAAACAGGTAAAAATACCAATAACAGTACATAATGACACAGTTTGTCCACAGGCAAGCATTTGTACAAGGGTTGTAGTACAATCATGATTAATGTGGGGAAAATGTGGCAGGTGTTCGTCTATTTCTTTGATTAACACTAATAAAAAATGTTTTAGGATTTCTTGAAATTAAAAATACCTGTATCTAGATCTAACTCCATCACAAGCACAAGATATGATTAGAGATCTAAAAAAAAATGTCATAGGACACATAAGGGAAAAAAATTAACATTTTTAATTTTTGGATGTGAAACACATACTGATTTTCATGTGCAGTGATATACAAGTATTGCAGTTTTCTTATCTTCTTCAGAAATTTTTACAATGCTTATATACATGTACACAATTTGATCATTACTGACTCAATGGTATAAGTATGACAATATTTCTAATAATATTTTCCCAGATGAGTGTATTTTACACATATAATTGCTATGTGGTCAGTTTTCCTACTGTGCTTTTTTGCTTTTTTATGTGCTTTCATCTGGTTAGAAAACACAATGTGTAAGTATTGATAAACCTAATATCTGGAATTACATGTATATTAATTTTGTGAACAGTTTTTGTAGACCTCTGTCTTAGTTGGAAAGGGGTACTGTTGTTTTGTGTTACTAGTTACTGTGGAATCATTACATTTTGTGGAGGTTCATCTGTTGTGTAGTTCATGATTACCTGTCATGTACAAACTTGCTTCAAGAAATGTTGGTATACAGTTTTCATTAAGAGTTCTTCACCTATGAAATCTGTAAAATAGATCGATAAAAACTAGCTCCCACAGAAGAAAGTGATTCCATAGTAATCAGAATTCTTTTACTTTTATGAAAAAGTACTTGTAGTCAGAAAATGGAGACAAATGCATGTTTTTAGTGGATTATGCAGAAACATATATTCAGTGGTGTGCTAGCAGATAGTTTTATTATTAAGAAAAAAATATTTAAAAAAAACAAACAAACAAACAACGCTTCCTCGTTGTCAGATGGAATGGTTAGCATTCATTGACATACATGTATATACAAGAATAAAGGAAAGTATAATCTGTGAAGTAAAAACAGAACTGTCAGATGTTAAGTCTTTCAATTTATTTTCTTGTGCATTATCCAAAGACACACTATTTCGTAAGATGTAGATAATAAAATCAAACAATTTTTAACCTCAGAAAAATTACAGTATTCTCATATCTGAGGAGCTCTACAGGATGAAACAATATATGGAAGGAAAAATAAATAGCATTTGTTTTGCTTCAGAGTTGATGGAGAGTATTGCTGATTTAACATAAGAGATAGCCAACATATTATGATTCACATACACTTATTCTTCCCCCTTAAAAAAAAGAATAAAGAATACAATAATTAAAATTGTAATATTATTTGTAAAGAATACAAAAATTACTCACATAAATAAGTATTAATTATGTTAAAGATTCGCTTAAATGATATTTTTTCTGTAATGATCAGAAATCTGTCAAAGAAAATGGGCATAAAAATGAAATTAAAGAAATTTTAATATACCATACACAAGAAAATTTGAAATAAATCTTGATAAAAAAAATGAAAAATTGCATAAAAGGAAAGGGTCATTTATCAATGATAGAGTTATCTCTCTTGTAGAGTGTCTTTTGCCCTTTAAGGAAAATAAAGAAACATTGCATTTTCATTTCTCTGTTATGGCTAATTTTACTCAGCCTGTACTTATTTTTAATATATTAGATTATGGCAAAGATATTGAAATATATATTAAACTATTATGGATAAAAGTAATATATAACATAATTTTCCTCTTTGCTTCAGAACTGCTGAGGAAGCTTTTGTGAAGGACCGAGACACGACACAGCCTGGTGGAGAGTGGGAGAAAATCTGTAGATTGTGTGAATTCAACCCCAAAAATTCCAAAAACACCAAGGATGTGTCAAGATTACGCTCCATTCTCCTGCAGTTAAAGCAGACACCATTAGTACGATGAAGTAAAACAGCATCATTCCCTCAATTTGTAGTTGTGTGTTGTGACTGAACAGCATGTACAATTTATTTGTTGTCAAGTATGAAAGAAATAACAGAGAAAATAAACGAGGACTTTTCATGTTGAATTTTATAGATCAACTGTAAAAGAAATTTAGGAAAAAATATAATTGTAAACAGTCAAGCCATTTTGTGATATTCAAGTAATCAAGTTCATTTTTCACTCATATACTTATTGGTATAATGTTAGTAAGAAAAGATACATGTACTTCAAATAAGTTTTTGATGTCACTGTTAAAAATGTAATAAAGTACATCTATGATAAGATATTCCAGTGCTACAGTTGTCATTTTATTGTTAAAGTAAGAGCGAACATGTCATTAAATTAAAAGGCCCCAGATAAGACTGCAACTCTAATGGATTGACCTCTATGTTTGTATATTGTTTGTTTAGTTAGGTATGGTATATACGGAAGCCGGTAGGTGCCAGGTAGAAAAATATTTTATTTGGCGGCCGCCACATAAATAACTGGCGGCCGCCAGAAAATTATCTGGCGGCCGCCAGAAATTTATATGGCGGCCGCCTAATATTTATCTGGCGGCCGCCAGATCTTTTTAACTGGCGGCCGCCAGAAAATTATTTGGCGGTCGCCAGATAAGTTTCTGGCGGCCGCCAGACAATTATTTGGCGGTCGCCAGATAAAATATTTTTTCTACCTGGCACCAACCGGCTTCCGTAGGTATATGATATACAGCAATATTGACATGTTAAAATTAGCATGTAAAATACAAATGAAATAATCATAAGTTCTTGTAAAAAAAAAAATCAATCTATAAAAACTAAAAAAGAAAATGAGTGGCTGCAATAAATATTAAAGCCTTTACCGAAGGCTAACCCATGAAATCCATAATAGTTTTTTGGTTATGACTAGTAATTAAATGAGCACCAGTGTTTTTGGATATAAATAGATTTTTAAAAAAACTGAATAAAACTAGAGGTACTGTGAGCACTGAGCTCACAAAATGATACCCACCGCCTCCCATATAATTATCATGGAAAAATTTATGTTTTGCTATGGGAGACCCAAAATAAGCGTCAGATCAAAAAGTAAAATAGGAGGTCACAATGGCACTACATGTATGTAATAAAGATTCTGTGAAAGTAGCGTTAAATTTTATTCAGTGGTATACATGGTATAGGAAGAGTTGCGGATAAGAAATGGGTTCCCCTCAATCTATACTTATAAATTAATAAATTTTGCAAATAAACTCCGAAACGGGTGCACCAGAGTTCTTACTTACTCCTCTAACAATACACTAGCTACAAGCTGATGTCCGTAAACTATATTTAGATTTCACTCGCATAGTAAGTATCGTACATTAAATTAAAAGTCTACTTTCATTTTCTATAAACAGCCATGAAATAGCTAAAACGTGAGTAAGGTGGCGTTTCCGGTTGGCGGATCTAGGTTAGGCCATATAAATTTAAAATTTAGATTCTCATCCTAATTTGCTGAAAAATTGGGGCGGGTGGGCGGATTTTATTTTTTATTTTTTATAAATGAAAGTATCAACAACACATTCGTGTACACTTAATTTTTACATTATGTTAATGCCAATATGAATAGATTTTATTGTTTTCATATTCTTTTAAATATCTACAGAAGATTCTTGTTATAGAAAATTAAAATATTTTTAGTTTTATTAACAAATAATCAAGTACACAGATACGGCACAAGCCAAACAAAATGAGGTGCTGATCCTAATAAATTGCATATGCATGTTTTCTCATCGGCCTTTCCCCAAATACCTTATAGTTAACTCCTTCTGTTCTGTGTGATATACAGATATCACAGATTTCCACTGTCCTCATACATTCAATCGTTCTTGAGACTTGACATGTTCGACATTAAATAGGGTGAATTCACCATGGATCGGACACCTTTCTACTTTAACAAGTTCTAGCAATATCGCTGCCGACCAAGTATTATAAAAATAGAGCTTAACATGTATTATGCGATTGAAATATGAATTTTTGATACAATTTTATGCCATCTATAGAGAAAATGTCATTAAAAAGTGGATTTTTTGGATTGAGCTAAAATTCACCATGGATCGGACAATATTCACCATGCATCGGACAAACCGTATATTGAAACGGTAAATGTCATAATTTTTTTATCGCAGGTTCCTTAAAACCTCCCAAATGATTATGAAATGGGAATGTAAATATAGTCCATGCTTCAGTTAGATATTTACCCTTTATTTTAGTTTGATTGATCATATTGATCCAAAATATAAAGAAAATATTAAGAGAGAGAGAGAGGAAAGAGATGATGATTGAGAGAGAGAATACCTGAGGGAGTTTTTCATCAACCTTTTTTTGGAGGGGGATCATCCTCCACTCCTGTTTGTAGATTGTAGAGGGAAAAACATTCGATTTATAAATATAATTAACCTTTCTGGTACGAAAGTATGAGTAGCATCATACCGGAAATGTTTGTTCCGGTTGCATCTTTACTTTACGTGTTAGAGTTCATGGTTGCACCATGCGGTCAGCCTGCTGGGATGTTTTTTGCTATTGTGGCTTCCTTACAGAGTAAGTTTGTTTTGAATTGCTGTTGTAACTATTATTTTATGCTAAAATGCAATAATTTTTGTCCTATTTTTGCTTTGGCATTGGTCGGGGAGAAAAATGCGCATTTATCCACTTCTCTGGGCATAGGCCTGTTTAGCTTACATGTGATACACAAATGTTTGTGCATCTTTTTAATATCAGATAAGGTTAGATATCGCATTTGGCACAATGCATATGTCTTATATCTAATATTAGACCTGTTACCTGAAAAATATATAGAATCACATTATTATTTTGTACTTTTTTAAGTTTTTCACCCCATCAGGATTAAAAAAAATACCATCTGCAGTTGGGTAATGTTCATATTATTACAACAAGAAGGAGACTTGAGTAGGGTTAGTGCTTAGTTCTCAAAGAATGATTGAACAAAGTGTAAAATGAATAATTTTGTTAAACAAAAAGTTTCAGATGTCTGAAACTTGATTTATTATTTTTTTTAACATCTTTTCATATTTTTTTTCTCTGATTTTAATTTCTTTTTTCTTTCTCTTTCTTTTTTTTCTTCTTCTTTCAGAAGTTTGGCCTTGAATGCCTCATCACAAGTTAAAACAAAAAAACCATCCTTCTTTGATGCTGCAGGTTTGGTTGGAGGTTTCACTCTAGGAATATCTCCAAGAATGTTTGTTGCATCATTGGTAACTAGCTGGTAATGGAAAAACATATTTTTCATTGTTAATTATTTACATTTGCAAATATTTTTTTAGATGAACCTATTGAAGAGAAAATATGTTCAATTAAGAAATGAATTTAATTTTTGAAGATTCATGAGGACATGAACTAGCGCTAGCGTTAGCGCTTCATGATAAATATGCCGGCGTGAAGCGTTGTAGTTCATGTACCTCATGAATCTTCAAAAATTAAATTCATTTCTTATATTTACATTATTTTTCTGATGAGTTACCACAAATTTCACCATTCAACTGTCATTTTTAAAGCAAAACGGTTTGCACTATAGTTTTTACATCAAGTACAGTAATGTATTATGACGTAACAATGGAGATATTCATGCTCATCCATGGTAGTTCATGAGAAAATGAACAGCATTCTAATTTGCAAAGAATCTTAAAAAATATTTGGAAATGTAAATATTTCCGTATGAACTTATCAGGGGGTCAGAGGTTATGGCATGACTGAATCACACAGTGAGATGATATCTTGTCTACATATTTCTGTCCCGGTGACACTGGTTTCGGAACTTCTAAGCCGTTAAAGCGATGAAAAAGATAAAATTATTGAAACATATATTTTTTTTCAACAAATGATCATTAGTTCTTTCTTCGTTGTGAAGAATATTTTTAATTAGCCTAAAATCACGCTTACCTATTCACCTGAAATTCCTTTGAAGGTATGTTAAATGAAGACGATACCACTGCTTTTGACTTCATATATAAAGAACTCATACAATAATAGTAAGATTATTCTCAGTAGCAATCATTGTTTTTTCATTATGAACAGATATTTCCTGAACTGGATTGCTGAACATCAATGTAAGTATTCAAATGTTGGAGCAAGGCGAACTCTCAAGACTAAACAGCTTCCAGGTCATTGCGCGTCACAACATAGCAATACGGCGGACCGTTTGTGTAATAAATGCAGTTCTTTTCAGAATATTCGTCTCAAATGTAAATAAAAGTAATAAACAACAGTGTTAAAAAGTTCACTGGAAAATGAACTTGGTTGGTATGTGATCAAATCTTCTGAGAAGCCCTTTGGGCTTCACAGGATTTGATCACGTGACCAACCAAGTTCATTTCCCAGAGAACTTTTTAACATTGTTGTTTATTTCTTAAATGATAATTTTTTTTCCTAGTAACGTGTAGAAATGATCCTGGAGTAATATCATACCTTAGATTTTAATGTTTTCCAGGTTTGAAATAAAGGATCATTATCCACTGCAATTCCAAAATTAAACCAGGTCTCATATAGAAGCTTTCTGTCTTCAGTCATGGAACATTCAATTGCAGCCAGAGCTAAATCTGGAGGACAGTCACTCACACCTTCAGTTGTAACAACAGCAGGTTGAGGAGTGGGCTGAACATCAACAAATGAATACCCCATGTCCAGCAATGCTTGAACCTCCTCAGCAGAAAACTGGGGAATGTCTTCACTCAATGATTGTAATTCAAATTTATATTCTAAATTGAAAAAAAAAAATAATGTGAAACTTTCTCATTTTCCTTTTTTGTGACTGCTAGGAGAAATGAGCCATATTACATGTATTGTTTAAAACATTTTCCTAATTTGCCCATGTAAAATTACCATAGTATACACAATTTTCAAACTGTATTATGAACATACCAAAAACTGAATTCTGATTACATTCTATTAATTGTAGAGAAATGAATTCGAGCAAAGTTGCAGGCTGACAATTCTTGAATACAGAGTAGGTTATCTCAGTGTTGAATGTATGAACAAATAATATTCCTAATGATTTTAATTCAATTTAGTAAAGAGCTTGATTTTCTGATTGAATGCTACATTGTATGGAAAAAAAAAATGTTCCCCAGTTTTTCCACCCATGGATGTTTTTATACCCCCTTTTCCACTGGAAAGGGGGAGGGGGGTTATAGTGTTGGGTGTTCCATCTGTCTGTCTATAATGCTTTATTTATATTTTATATTTTCAATAATGCTATAGCAGGTGTTCCTTGGAAAACTCAAGTGTTGATTTTAACACAGTACAAAGACACTCTGAATACTGGTGTTATGAAACACTACCAGAGGTTGATGCAGCAGGTGGACATTCCCCAGCCATCCCAGGTGTGGAACTTGACAGCACTGACATCGGTGGAAATGCAGAAGAGGTAGGTCCACTGCTATTATCATTGTCACCTAGTAAATTGCATAATGATGCATAATGATGTACCACTCGGCACACATCGACCGATTTGTACCTCATTGAACCTCAGCTGTATCGTGTAAACCACTATTGAACCGGGGCTACTTTATAGACAATATGGCTGCACCCTGTATTACACATGCAGAGTGTGCTGATTTCCATCTTCTGACAAACGTACTTATGTGAAGATGCTAAATGCAAGTTTCTTGGTATGTGTTATTTTAAGTACACTGTATTACCTTACTGCCCTTGAAGATTTTTTCGTATGTCAAATGCTTGTTTGTTGTCCTTTTGGCATCTTCGCTAGCCAAGGATTTCTGGTACGCTACTCTCCTCATAAACCCTTGGCATACGGTGTTAAAAAAAAGTTGGGATTTTTTTCTCAAGTTGTGATTGGAGTTGATTGACATCGTTCGACCAATCAGCAATTGTTTTTTATAAATGACGATATTTGCGTTCGGGATATATCTTGACTCTTTAATATTGGTAATGTAAAACGCAAGTAAACAATGATCCGTAAGATAACATGCCATTCTATGAATAGCTATATGATGTCATCCAATATCTAAAGCGTATACGTGCAAAATATGTGATTAAGAATCTATACTGAAGATGTAGATTTGCATTTTTACATGTTTAAATAGCAAATTAACATAACTCAATACCTTCTTGTTAATTATTCTTTAAAAACAAATTTTTTTTAAATACGCTTTTTATTTATGTCGATGACGCAATCTGTGCGTAGCTGGTAAGAATCATGATCACGTGACAAAAACAATCCTGTCTTTTGTCAGCACCGTATGCCAAGGGTATATGAGGAGAGTAGCGTATCAGAAACCCTTGGCTAGCGAAGATGTCCTTTTGGAAGCATTTTATTTTCCCTAGGCAGTAAACAGGCAGCCATATCACAAATGTTAGGCGGACATGCGTATCAAGTTATCTAGTACAGCCAAGGTTTGATGAAGGCAATGGAATAGGTCTAATGTTGCTGAATGAATGAAGTACAATTGATCATACACTTTATTTAAGACATTACAAATAATTTGTTTCATGATGGCATGTTAACAAAGCTGTATGATGTTAAGTTTTTTGCAAATTATTTGTGTGCAAGTCAAATACAGACTTATTGTATGTAGCACACTAAAAAAATCAAGGTAAAATGTGGAGCCGCAGAGGCGCCAGCTGGTAACATGAAAGACTTGTTGAAGAAACACTGAAGAGTTACACAGGTTATTATACAATTATAGCCTTTTGATGAGGTCAGTCCCTAGATATATAGACCTTAGAGAAAGCATATCGACGTAGCATGAATATCAAGGGATTGTACCAAATCAAAAGGCTATAATTCTTTTATTATTTTTTTTATCCATTAATTAGAAATGTCTTAAAATCCATGTTATTGATGCTCAATACTTTTCATAAAAGGCAATGTTATGTCATTTGCATTATGATGTCACGTACAGTAACGAATAGCAGCACCAGTATCTGTTTTTAGATACATCCAGTTTATAAAGACTATTGTGATGTCAGCACTATTGTTGCTTCACAGAAGAACATTTCCAATTTTATAAACAGTAGGTTTATAATTTTTTTTAGAAGCTTAAAGGTGCTTGGACACAGATTTGAAGTTAATATTTTCTCAAATTTTCTGTATAATTTCATGACTTATATGTTGCTATAACATTTCATGCTAAAATGTAATAAAAATCTTATTTCATCTCGAAGTTATCAAAACTTCGAATTTCTTGACGCGTTGGATTGACACATCCTTGCGCTCTTACATATTTTAATTTTATTTTTAACACTTAAGAAAAGTGGCAATTTTGTTGTACATTAATGAAAAATATTAAAACTATAACACAGAAAATTCAGAGTAGAAATGTTCGAAAGCAAAACCCACTCACAGTATTGTAAGTCCGTGCTCAGTGGTGTGTGCAGAGTTTAACAATTGAACACACCCGGTGAATCGTAAACATTAACAATAACAGAGCTCGTGCCCTGTTTACGAAAACGGTTTACGTTTCACGGGTGTGTTCAATTTGTTAAGCTCTGTACACATCACAGAGCACGGACTGACAATACTGGTGAGCTGGTTTTGCTTTCGAACATTTCTACTCTGATCTTTCTGGATTAAAGATATACTATTTTTCATTAATACATAACAGAATCGCCTCTTTTCTTAAATATTAAGGATAAAGTTAAAATTTGTGTTCCAGGGTAAGTGCAAAGATGTGTTTATCAAACACGTCCCGGAATTCGTAGTTCCAATAATTTCCAGATGAAATAAGTTTTTAATTATATTTTCGTGTGAAATGCTATTGCAATATATAAGTCGTGATATTATACAGAAAATTTGAGAAAATATTAACTTCAAATCTGTGTCCAAGCACCTTTAAAATGGAAACACCCAGTTTATAATACTTACATATATAATATTTTTATACTTGATCATATGATATAGTTTGAGCCAATCAGATAGCTGGCAACAACAGAGAATAATAATAAAAACAGATATGGAATGGTAGACCAAATTATTACTTTTCTCTATTGTTGCCAGCTTTTTTATTGGCTCAAACTAGATCATGTGTTCACAATAGTCTTCATAAGCTGCATGATTCAAAAAACAGATACTGCAGCTGCAATTTGTAACTGTGACTTCATAATGGGTAAGACATAACAATGCCTTGTATTAGGTTGATTTTTAGAACCATGGATTTCAAGATATTTTTTATTAACTGATAAGAAAAAATGATGAAACAAATATGGCCTTTTGATTCGGTACAGTATATTAATCCCTTTGTGCTCGGTCGATATTCCTTTCTGTAAGGTCTATATATCTAGTGATTGATTTCATCAAAAAGCTATATTTGTATATTCTACCACAGTTATTGGCGAGATCAAAGAAATGCCGTGGACATTATTCTCCAATAAATCGGGAACGTCATATAAAAATTATCAGATCAGAAATGCATGTCAAACCTGTACAGTTGAAATAAATATTTCACTGTAGAATCTAATACTTATTTAGACCATATTGATGTGTCGTCTTATGCAGTCTAAATAAGTGTGTATTGCCTGAAACAGCTGAAAAGTGGGGCAGTTCCACGGACCTCCTTACAACATATATACTCCTTGATCTTGCAGATAAAGCAATGAAATAGACAACTGATTTTGTCATTTTACATTCATAAAAATTAATCAATACATGTTACAAACAAATTTATAAATAATTAAAGGATATTTTTAATCCAACGAAAGCTGAAATCGTCTGCATTTTTTGCAATCGGTACACAAGTAAACAAATTGACTCTGGTGTTAAATGGAACAGCAAAATCGCGACATGGTGTCCTAATTCGTTTCTCTATAGAGGAAATGCTCAGCTGCATTTTAGAGCTGTTAGTAGAATAGAAATAAAGACCTTGTTGTCGTGAATAATGCAGGATAACCTCCTCGGCTTTTATATTTCAGACATTTTTCGACCTCGGAGGTTATCCTGCATCATTCATGATAATGTGGACTTCATTTCTTATATATTCCACACAGACAAAAACGGAATAACACTAACAGTTTAGGAACATTTACACATATAAGCCGTTTAATGGCACAGTATCTGTTTAATAAAGACATTTTTCTAATATACCTGCAGGGTCAGCATATACATTTGATGGAAGGAAAGCTTCCTCAGGAATTGCAGCAGGATCAAGAGGGGAAATCCCAGTAACCCGAAACCCATTTATGAGATAAGAAGGCTTCAGAGTGTTCCATGCCCTCGAGAAGAGGCGGAAAAAATTGCCGTGTGTGATGGGACAGGCAGTTTCCATGATGAAAGTCGTATTGACTTCACGCCATTTCTTTTTCAAGGGCCCAAACACAGACCTGAAATTCGATATGATCATAGGAAAGAGAAAGATAAATATGAGTTAGCTAATTATTTCACAAAGAGGAAAGTAAATCGTGCCTATCTAATGGTTGTAGCCAATGAGAACAGT